TGTATCATCTTTGTTAAATTGGTGTAAATCATTTTTGTCAGGCCGAACACAGAGAGTTGTAATAGGGGAATATATTTCAAGTTGGAAGATGGTTACTAGTGGAGTACCACAAGGTTCAGTACTCGGACCTCTTTTGTTTGTAATCTTCATTAATGACTTATGTAGAGGGATTATTAAAGACACTAAATTATATGCAGACGATACCAAAGTTATTTCAATCAATCATTGTTATGATGATAATAAAATATTACAAGAGGATATTAACAGGTTAGTTAAATGGTCTGAAGATTGGTTAATTACATTTAATGAATCAAAATGTAAAGTCATGTATATTGGCAAAAAGAATCCAAGATATGAATATAAATTGAACAACTCTGTTTTAACAGAAACAATGATAGAAAATGATCTTGGGATTTTCATTTCAAATAATCTAGAGTGGAAATATCATGTTAATTCAGCTATAGGTAAAGCAAACAGAAAATTAGGCATGATCAAAAACTCTTTTGAGTATTTGGATGAACTTTCATTAAAGTTACTATACAAATCGTTAGTACGTCCCCATTTGGAATATGGAGCAACAGTTTGGAGTCCATTTTGGAAAAAGGACATTGACAATCTTGAAATCGTGCAACACAGGGCTACGAGAATTGAATCTTTAAGGGGGAAGTCGTATGAAGAAAGATTAAAGATACTTGAATTGCCAACTTTGTTTGATAGAAGAAGAAGAGGTGATCTGATTCAAATGTATAAGATCTCAAAAGGAAAAGATATTGTTAATTTTCACCATCCTCCTTTAAATTTTGAGCTGGAGCGATCTAGTAGAAGTAACAATTGTAGAATACGCAGACAATTTACAAAATCAAGAATTCGTCACCATTTCTTTACAAACAGAGTTATAAATGATTGGAATTCTCTTCCACAATGGATATTAGATAAAGATAATTTGAACATTTTTAAAAACAGTATCGATAATTATTTCGGTTTCTGAACACTAATTTTTGTAATCGGCTGTCATAGTCTTAATTCTACGTAATTAAGACTCTACACACATATATATATATATAGAATAGAATAGAATAGAAAAGGTGTGTACAGCACCTTTTCTATTCTATTCTATTCTATATATATATATATATATATATATATATATATATATATATATATATATATATATATATATATATATATATATATATATATATATATATATATATATATATATATATATATATATATATATATATATATATATATATATATATATGTATATATATATATATATATATATATATATATATATATATATATATATATATACCTACATATATATATATATATATATATATATATATATACCTACATATATATATATATATATATTATATATATATATATATATATATATATATATATATATATATATATATATATATATATATATATATGTATATATGTATATATATATATATATGTATATATATATATATATACATATGTGTGTAACATTAATAATACAATAATATACATATAACAAGTGTTATTTATTGCGCCGTGAAAAAAATTTTTGGGCATAATTTTTTTTTTGCAAAAACTGTGCCTGTTTATTATCCAATTAATTAGATTTTTTTGACTTTGCGTTTTTCATTTTAGTTACAATGATGATTTAAAAAAATACTTTTGTGAGAGCTGTAAATTGTTTCCATAAACTGTTTTAAAGTAGTGTGGGCAAGAGCAAGAGCTAAAGCTCTCGCATGGCTCTAGCAGCCAATGGTGCAGTTAGAGTTCTGGCTCAGAACAAAGAACTCCAAGATTTGATGCCAGTTAGAGTGCCATTAAATGCTTTTCCATGGTGCTCTATGATGACACTGTAAAGAGTTTGAGTTGCATTATAACTACTAATTTTAACAACAATAGAAAATAACTTCATTTGTTTGACAACATTTTATGCTTTATATAAACAGTTAAATAAATATTAGATATTTATATCGCTTTTGATTGTTTTATAAAGTTCTAGATTGTTCTGGAAAATTAAAAAGTTGCAGAAGTTCCAGAAAGCTCTGGAAGTTTAAAACAATTCTAAAATGCTTTATAAATTTCCAGAATGATATAAAAAGTAGTGAAGAGCTAATGGCAGTTGGAGAAAAATCTGGAAAATTCTGATGTCATAAAAAGTTTCAGAAACCATTATGAAATAGGAGTAATAAAGCAGGCTTGTTAAATATATAGTTCTTCTATATATTTATTTTGGAGTGACCATTTTTTTAAATTATAAAAAATCAGAGCTAAAGTTACTTTTAATAATTTTTTAATTTTTTTTTTCCAAAATTAAATGACCCTTATGTAACGTTATGTACCCTTATCTAACAATATGTCTATATTCTTAGACAAATTGGAGAGCATCATATTACAATATATCATGTAACTATTTGGGAAATTTTACAAAATGCTGCATAGCTTTTTGAGCTCATTTCAACAAATTTCAGTAAGTTGTTGTAAAAATAAAAATACATGATGTAATGAAGTGTACTAGGACATTCAAAATGGATCAACTGTCAAATCAAAGTCCAAAAGTGTCAAAATGTTGTTAATAAAAAATTATAACATGATCTTTATTTACCAAAAATAGTTATATCAAGCAGAAAATTGTTACATAAATAAAAGAAGATAATGCTTATCGTAGTTTTAATAATTATAGAGTTATTTTGCTAATTTTGTTTAAATGGAAGTTAGTTGTTATCTTTAATAACAAGATTATTTTTAATAACAAGATTTTTCCATTCTAAAGACTTTATATATATTTTACAAAATAGGACTATAAAATATATATTTACAACATAAATTTTCAGTAAATTATTTATAATAGCTGTTATTATTTATTTTTTTGTTACAATTTTAAACTTACGCTCCAGCAATAAAATTGATTGTCGTAGAACTTCTGCATTCTTTGTAATCCATGAAATTAAGTTATGGTTTATATAATTAAGTTGAATTTAAGTTTCGCATAACCCAAAATTTTGTTAAAAAAAATTAAAATTTTAAATCTAGTATTATAATAATACTAAATAAATTTATAAAATATATACAATGTATTTATTTATTTTTGTTTACAAAATTGATGCGATATTACAGATATCAGATCCACATTTTTTCGGGTTGATTTCGGCATATGAACTTGATCATCACGTGCCGTTCAATCAATAAGAACATGACTTCTGACATCGGAAATCTTATTGCCCTAATAAAAAAACACGCTTTTAAAATATTATTTCACTCTATTACTATTTTTATTTTTTTTTTGAGCTGAGGTTTTCAATGTAATATTATTATTGTGGATCAATGGTGGAGTCAAATAAATGACGCTCTTATGAATACAGTGGTGTAACTGTAGACAAAAGTTGTCATCCCAACTATACCTTTAGTAAAAAAAAAGATTCTTCGATCAGAGCCAACAACACCAGGGGAGTCGAGGGGGTACTTGCCCCCTCCCCTACTTTTTTTTAAAGGACTTTTTTAAAAAATAAAAATGTTCTAGATAAAGAGGACTTTTTTTTAATATTGACGATTGTGCCCCTCCACTTCGAAACCCGTGTCGTCGGTCCTGTCAATAAGGTTCTACTGGCATAAGTTAAAAAACATCAACTAGGAAGTTATATCGTAGTTTACCTCTTCCCAAACCTCTCTCAGATACTACTAGTTATATATATTCCTTGGATAAGTCAAGATGATAACTCATTGCATGTAACATTTATTGTATAACAAAATACAGCATAAGTTTATACTAATAAAAAAAAAAAAAAAAAAAATAACATTGATTGATATTTAGCCATAGCAAGCACGCTGGAATGGCTTAAAAGCAGGGATGGCAAACCAAAATTAAATGAATTTTATTAGAATAATGTATGCCAAAAATAAAATTTTTAGTATACACTATTCTAACATAAATGAAACTTTTAATTAATCCTTCCGTGATCCAAAAAAATAAAAAATAGAATGTCATAAAATGCAATTAATACTAATGGTTATAGGAATGCTATTAAACAGTCGGTACCAAATAAGTTGACTGTTTTTTGCTGGCTAATTGCTGGATGGCAATAGGTTTCATGCCATTCTTAGCTTTACAAGGTGTCTACTATCACTCATATTAACAAATTGTTCTGCGTTTCTCTTAATGTTAAGTTATTTTTAATAACTTAACATTAAAAGAAACTAATTTATTTTTATATCTTGGCAAACATGATGCTGTTGAGGTGATTGCCTCTAGTTTGCACCTGACCAATATTTTTACTGAATTGACTGAACCAGTCATTGCACCGCTCGATGTAAGCTTCTCTCTTATTAATGAAGTGGGTAATATTTTATGAACAAATTTTTTTTACAATTATCGATTTGCCGCTTTTAAGATTCTATAAAATTCCTTATTTTATCAAAGTTCTGCAAACCTCTGAGACACATTTCTAATGCAGTACACATAATCTGTCTGATTATTTCCTTGCAACTGCTTTGATATAGCCTCCAGAATAGAAATTTATCGAAAAGGATTTTAGTCCAAAAAGTGTTTTACTTATAAAACTGAGGTAATAAACCTTTAATTTGTGCTCTTTTATTTGTTTTATTTTTCTTGTCCCTCTGAAGGCTGTTCAGTTTGCACGGACAGAGTTTTTTAATCTTTTTCGATACCACTTGTACTGCTTCTGTTCATGTTGTACATTTATTCATTGACATAAAACTTCATTCGTAATATCTGTATTTATCTGATTCAAACTCGAGCGATATACTCTTTTGGGTTTGTTTGAACAAGACAAGTACGCTGGAATATGCCACCTACAATGACTGTAACCTACAATCTTGAGGGAGTCTGATACATGTAATGATATTGCACGCGCATCCTTAACAATCAGCTTATTGTAATGCTCCATTTAATAAAAGTATCGGGCTTGCTATCTAAATAAGTTTTGCCGTTTTATTGTTAAGGCCATTTTTTGTAAGAATCAGGTAAATTCCTGAAAATGTGGAAGTGACTTCTTCCAAATTACTTGAATTTTTTATATATTGATCAGAATATAGAGAAAACCTGTTGGGGAAAAAAAAGATTTCAAAAGTGTTTCGTTCACTCAGAATCCGGTTTAAAATTTTGAGATTTTTTGAAAAATTTTTAGAAATTTAGTTTTGCCACCTTTAAATCCATTTTTGGCAGGGTAAAAAGTTGCAAATAACTTTTGTAGTTAATATCAGCCGTAACCCAAAAGCTCTCTCCAAAAATTATAAAAAAGTTGCGTGACACACAGTGTCACACGGTGAGCTAATTATCATAGTTCAAAAGTACAAAAACATTCAGTTTTGTCAATTTTTAATGGGAGTTATTTCTAAAGACAAAGTGTTGGACACAATTTTTCTTGCAGGATTTGCAAGTATTGTAGGTATTAAGTATAAAAATGCAAAGAAAGTTATGTGATACCTAAGGCCTAAAAATATATGAAGGCTTGAAATTGAAAAAAAATGTTATAGTATACTTTCAAAATGACACATTACGGCAGAAGCGCTAAGTTTTTGTAAAAATGGAAACATATCCAAATGTCAATACAACATGGTCCTAACATAATAATAAAAAAAACTCGTGTGACATTGTCACACACATAATATAACATGAATTAAAAACTAAACAAAAATCGAACAGCAAGCAAAACTATTTTGCTAATTAAATGAAACATAAATGAAACATTTAAATGTGTTTCCATTTAAAAATCAGTTGTTTATTCAGAAATAGAGTCATTTACACACATTAAATAAATTATCGACCACATCACATATATATTTTACTCTGTTCTATTAAGTTTCTCTAAGAATAGTGATATGACTATATTATAGTCTTCTTTGGATAATGAATAATCGCCACAACCATTGATTAGAAAAGGAGCATTTATTAAACAGATAACTTTTTCATTTTGGTAGTTTATCTCCTCGGGAGTAACTGGCCAGCGAAACAAGGCTACAAGTTGCCTTTAGAAGTATTCTTCTCTTGCCCGTTATTTATACAATCAACTCTGATCCCAGTTATAGATACCTAAAAGTGTTTGCACAACATTTTAAAATAATATAATAAAGAATTTATGATTTGTTTAACTTTGTTTACATTCAGTAAAACTTATTAATTCTAATATAAAGTCATTCTCAAATTATTTTATATTTTATTTATATTGCTTTTATTTTAGAGCACTATTTTGTAAAACAAAACAAAAACTTGAAAACTAATACATGCTTTAAATAATATTACCTCCACAATATATCCAATATTCCATTGTTCATATATAATAGCTACCCAATCATTCAATCTTCAATGCTACTCAATCATTCAATCTTCAAATTATTCAAAATTTAATTGTTCATATACAATAGCAACCCAATCATTCACTTTCCACACAAGACAAATTTCTTTTGTAAGGTCGGCGATGTATTTCTCATATCTATAATCATCTTCATTGTCTCCTGTTTGATTACAGTCATCGTTTTCGCCATATACGCCTTTGTTATTGTTAATCTGACTATTTTCATCATTTTCTAATGTCGGTTCTAATAGCATACCTTTTCTTTTCAGGTTGCTAAACTTACAACAGTATCAATTGTACATCTTTTTAAACATATGTAAACAAAGACAAAAAACTATAGTTTTCACCAAAATTTTAGTTTCATATTTGCAAAAGAACTATTTAATAGTCAAAAACATAATATAATTTGTAAAAGTTTTAACAGCAACAATGCCTATCTTGAAAATAAAGATCTTATCTGTTGGATAGTTACATATTGATCAGGCGGAAGTTCCCTTCTCATCTGCATGTAAACCTGCTCAGGGCTCATTTTATTACCTGATTCTTCTCCATGAAAAAGTATCAGTGTAAAGTAACAGTGCTTTATGTTGATTAGAAAATCTAATAGAACTTTTAACTGGTAATGCCCAACCTTGCAATACAAAAATGTTCATGAAATGTGGTTTGTCTTTTACAGAAAAATTTTCAGAGAATGAAGAAAGCGACATATTTAGTTGTGAAGTAATTTTCATCTTATGAACAAACGAGTTGCGAACTTTATCCAATGATATTAATGATTTCGGAACTGTATGAAGATTGAATAGTATGTATTCTTCAAACTCAGCATCGCTTTCAAATGATAAAGTACAATACGTTTCAGTGTAAAGTCTTAATGAACATAATTACCGGTCACTTCTTTACTATTTTTCCTTTAGTGACTTGATTCACTTAACTGAATTATCTGTTTTGCTATATGGCAACAACAACTTAATCGAGGGTTGAATTTTAAGATTTCCATACTCTTGTTTAATTCCCTTACCGATATCGAAATAACGCCACATCATCATACTCACCAAACTCAAATGAGTGATAGTTACTAATGTTCGTAATCTTTGGTCTAGTAACTACAGTTTTATCATTACTAATTTACCAACTGCTACTTTTGCATCTTTAGCTTCACCTATGCATTGAAGTAAAGTAAACACGCTTGAATAACTTTCACGCTATTTTTATGAAGCATATATCCACATGTAAACTCATTCCTTTTTTGCCAAAATACTCTCTTTGGCCTTCTTTGTATCAAACCGGAAGAATTTTTTGACAAAAATTTGAATTGCTAGTTCTTTGATCATCTCGATAGCTTTGCACAAATCATAAAAATTGGTACATACCACTACTGATATCTTTATGTTGGATTGAAGATTTTTTTCAGATGGATCTGATAAAGCATGTTTTGAGCTATGAGAAGAAATGTTGGAGTCATTGACACTACAATTGCTTTGATAACTTGTTTTTAGATACCTTTTTCCTTTCTCCAGAGCAGCTTCGAGAAATTTAGAATAGAATCTTTGAGCCAATTTTTGTAATGTTTGAAAATTATTCATACCAGAAACAGTGACATCATCATTTTTGACTTGACGGTTTTATTGCATGCAATACTTTGCACAAACGTGAATCGGATAATGGTACATAATTGTTCTCACTACAACTTTTTCGATAGAACATGATAGTGTGGCTATATTTTGTCATTAGTATTGCATACGCTATCTTATTCTCTTTGCCGCTGTCGTATTTCAATTTGGTTATTCCATAAGCAACATCATACAAAATACCGATTGTAAATATAAAATC